CCCGTAGGTGCTGATTCTCTTTTTCTAAGGCTGTGATTCGGTCCACCATGACTTGGGCGTCCTGCTCAAAGACACCGATCCGCTCCTCGAGACTCGCTTCTCTAAAGGCCGCAGTAGCCCTCTCCAACGCCCGTTGGGACTCGTGCACGCGGATAGCTTCCGTCAACGCCCCAGCCCTCGACGAGGCATCCCTCACCTGAAGCTTCAATACCGCGACTTCACCCTCCAACGCAGTCACTTTCCCGCTCCATGCCGCAGCGGCCTCTGCCGCCTTAGCCTGGCCCTGGCGCTCACACTTAGCTGCAGCCCTCCTCCCCGCCTCGAGCTCCTCATCCTTCCGCCGGAGCTGCTCCTTGAGAGCACTCGCTCTGCCAAGTGCTTGCTGCATCTGTACCTCCCGCCTCGCCAGTTCCTCGACCAAGGTCCGACTACGGGGATCATTCCTCAAGCGCACGCGCATCTCTCGGCACCGATCTCGGTAGCAGTGGTACTTCTCCAGCGCCCGCAAAAATATCCCCGAGCGGACGTTGGCTCGACGGATGCTCTCCACCTCCAACAAATAAGACTGCAAAGCAAAGACAACGATTAAGATAAAAGAACAAACTAAGGCAAAGAAGAAGCGAACCGACGTTATAGTGCATACCCTCAAGCCCATCACGGCCACTTCATTCACCAGTCCGACATCCGTAACGCCCCTCAACGATGCATTCTCGGCCTCCGAGCATAGCAGCTCAAACTGCGGCACCAAGCTTTCCCCTTGGAGCAATAAGTTCAACTCCGTGGGAACCTCGATGAAGCGAGATCGCCCCTCTGCGCGCACCGCTGAATTGGTGAAGCCTTCTTGGAACATACGGACGTCGTCAGGGTCCAAGTCGGATTCGGACTCGTACTCATCCCCTACAACATCCCTTCCTCCTTCCGCCACCAGCGAGGTAGAACCCCCCGCCGTAGCCACCGAAGGAGCGCTTCCCTCACCAACCTTAGCAGCCGCTGAGGAACTACCTCCCGTCTCAGCGACTGGAACCTCCAACTGAGTCGCCGAAGCAACGGAATCATCATGGCCTAAGCCAGCCGGGGCAACCCCCATTGACTGTTCACCCTCAAGAGCAGGCGCCGCGACCGCACCCCTCTCCGCATCCGTCGGAGGAGAGTCTAAATTGATTACCACAGGAGGAGCCGGCGTGAACACGACCCTACGCCTTATCAATGGCCTCTCCTCTTCCCCGTCTGATGGTGATTCCGCCCTAGGGAGCACAACCCCCGATGGCCCCTCGTCCCGAAGTGCGGCCCGTGCTGGAGAAGGAACCGCTGAAGATTCAACTGATGCCGCCCTCGATATTGAGCGCGACACCGGCGCCGCAGTGAGTTGAGCGATTGCACCCGGCCGCCGAAAGGCCAACTGAGGGGCCCTGACGCGGCGTGCCCTCCCTGATCACAGAAAAACAAAGTTGGTGAATAGGGTTGAAACAAAGCGGAACAGAAGAAGAAATCAATTTTTTACCTGCCACAGGTCTACGGCCATGCCTCTCCCAAAAAGACGCCCATGTGTGTATCCCCACCGTATGGGGGAGCACGGCCTCAACCCACTCACGAATCCCAGCCAACGGAGCCGGCGGCGACTTTTCGGCTACAAAATTGATACGAGTTAACGTTTATGAGCACAAGACGTAAGGAGGGGCAAAAAAGGGAATTCAATGACTAAGGAACTTACGTGCATGATTCCTAAGCCTCTGGGAATCCAGTAGAGCACGCCACTAAATGTTCAGTCCTGATGTAGAAGAAGTGCTCGAAAGGGCGAGGGTCGACCTCATCATCCAGCTTCGCAGTCAGGCCCCTCGTCCCGCGAGGGCACGCTCGAATCATGGTACCACGAACTCTCTGAGGAGCGTAGAGGCTAAGCACATGTTGCATCATGACCTCCCTACCAGCCAATTCTGTGTATTTGATGAGCATTGCTAATAATTTATAAAGAGAAGGAGTAAGCTGACCCGGGCATACCCCGTAATAACGACAGAAATCAACCACCAGCATTGGGAGCGGGAGCTTAAACCCCAACTTGAAGGGATAGGCGTAAAAGACGCAGTATCCCCTACGGTCGGTGTGGACCCTCTCCTCGCTTCTAGCGAGAATGACGTCAGCATAGCTGGGGATGACCCCCTGTCCCCGTAGTCGGGACATCCCAATCTCCCCCAGTAATGGGGCTTCATCCACCTGTTCCTCCCCACCATCGGCGGTGAAATAAGTAATCGGACCTCCGGGCAGAGGTACTATCTCGTCAACCGACGGAGCCTCACCGGTCTCCACCAGTTCTGCATCGCCCATTGCCGGAAATGGCCCCTCAGTCACCGGTGAGTTAACCGGAAGATCCGTCGGAATAACGTTTTGGGAAGAAATGCCTGCCATTGTTGATTCAATAACGAGAAAGAAACAAAGTTTGGGGACGAAGACGAAGTAGCAATCGAAGAAAAGTGTGAAACAGCAGAAGAAAAGCTTCTTCAGAATCTACCCTCAGACAAACAATGAGAATAAAAAAAATGAATGCCTCAGCCTTTATTTATAGGCAACACAAGTGGCCTTCATGCACCCCAACAACCACCATTAACTACATGACCAACCGCACACCGGTTCGATTCCATAGGAATGTGCGTCATTATGGCAGGTTCCATAAAGCAGCCTTGCAATCACCCATCGGCGTCTCGCCCTCGAAATGGTTATAACAACCTATGAATGCCGAGGAGATGCTCCTTGCGCCCTAGAAATTTTTTGACATCGCCAAACATGTATCAAGCGTGCCCTCACTCCCCTCGGAAACATACGACCCATCCACCATGGTCGACGGGTATGCACCCAAAACAAACGTAAGGATCAGAGCACAATGAAGCTCGACCTCACTCGAAGTAAGTTAAAACGTCAAGCGCCTTCGCCAAGTAGGAGAGTTCGACCTCGATCGAACGATGACTTGATAGCATAATAACAGAATACGAATACTCTACAAGGCTAAGGGCCATCGCCAAAGAGAATTCGGCCTCGACCGAAGCAACAGTCGACCTCCCCATCCGAGTTTCTCAAACTACAGTCAATGGAATCCACTCATCGAGCTCGGCCAAGGCCCGACCTCAATAAGCGGAGGGACTAACTGTATGGGTCAGAATCCGACCCCACGATAATTAACGAAGCTAATCCCGTCTTAAGCTAATTCATGATTAATTAGTGGCACGACCACTCAGAATTAACGATATTCAACCCGCATCTGATTCAATCAGCAAGGCCATAGCCCATCCGCCACCATGAAGGCGAAATCCCAACGTGGTCACGGCCACTTATTGCCAGCTCACGAAGCTCACAGCTATAAATACCAAGAGAGGAAACCTTAGAAAGGGGGCTTCTTCTTCTTCACTATTGACGAGAGAAAAAAGAGATAACGAGACCCATAGTATGGGCAAGAGGAGCACCATTGTAAGGCTCTGAACCTCTTCATGGAGAGGCAGACCAAACCAATATTATCAATAAAGGCTTCTAGTGTTTCTCCCCCTAACCCTGAGTACTTATTTTCGTTTTCTTCATTTGGTCCAACGGATTATTACGGTTTGCCATGATTTTCCCGTGATTCATTTATATTGTTTTATACTCATAAGGTATGTGATAACTTTTGAGCAAACACATTTCGTTTTTGCAGATTAGTGAAATTTCCACTTCATGAAATCGATTTTGGCTGGGGGGAAGCCTGCAAAAGTGAGCATACTAGGGGTGTGTTTGGTACGAAGGAAAATATTTTTTAATTTTTCATGTTTGGTTGGCTTAAATGTTTTGGAAAATATTTTCCTTATGAACTCATTTTCCTCCAATTGGAGGAAAATATTTTCCTTATCAAGAGAAGGGAAAACATTTTCCAAAACTCCTTCTCAACCTTCCCTACTCTCACCAACCCACCCCACCCTCTCTCTCCAAAAAAGTTTTTTTTTTTTTAAATTTCAGTTTTTCCGTTACCACCCACCCTACTACCCCTCCACCCTACCCAACCCCCTCCCGCTAAAAAAATTATTTATTTTTTTTTACCTATTTTTTTATTGCAATTTCAAATTTATGTTTTTTCTTTTTCTGCACCACCCACCCCAACTGCGTACCCCCCCCCCCCCCCTCCCGAAAAAAATATTTTTTAATATATTTTTCAGTTTTAGTTTTTTTATTTATCCGTTTAAAGGTTCAAAATTTTACAAGTTCCAAAGTTATGAGTTCGGAGGTTTATGTGTTTGGAAGTTTACGGGTTAGAAATTCCGCGGTTTCGAAAGTTTATGAAAAATGTGGGTTCGGAAGGTTGTTGGTTTGAAAGTTTATGGCTTCATATTTATTATATCTAAATTATTTATGAATACTCTTGAGAAGTCATTTTCCTTAATTTTCGTACCAAACACTGAAAAATGAATAAAATTACTGCTACTTGTTTTCCAAGAAAATGTTTTTCTTGGGAAACATTTTCCACGGAAAACGTTTTCTTGGAAAATATTTTTCACGAAAAACATTTTCTGTTATACCAAACACCACCCAAATAACAGATTAATCATCTTGGCGGGTAACCAAAGTGGAGGAATTGTTGCATTTGTGTCACTGAGAGAGCAAGATATGTCTGTCTTTGAACATGACGTGGAGCTTCTTGAATTTTCTATTCCAGTTCCAAATTTTTAGAGGATTAACATCATGCTTTTGTGTGTGTGTGTTGTATTTTCTACCTACTTTTGCTGTTGAGTACGCTACAGGATCATAGTTGTCTTTTATTGATTGATCTTCAATGTATAGAATACATCTTCAGGACTACACAATAAAGGATAGCAAACACTTGTTTTTGGGTAAATTCAAAATGTACCATTGAGAACTGCAAAAGGAGCTCCAACATAATCGCATCTTATGGGCCCAAAAGCTACTCCTTTTGAGGAATATCTACATTTTGGTATCTATACTTGCCGCACAAGAGAGAGAGAGAGAGAGAGAGAGAGAGAGAGAGAGAGAGAGAGAGAGACTGAAGATATAATAGAGCCCTTGAACAATGTGAATCATTAATTTCTAATTTTAGAACGGCAGATGCCACTGTATGAACTCTATAAAACATTAAATTAGCGAATCTTACCCTTGAAAGACAAAACAGTCATCTAGCCACGATAACATTAAGAAAACAGACGTTGAAAATTTGGAGATGTAGATCCAGCCAAAGAGCTGTATCACTACCAAATCCATTGCTAGATTGTGAAATATTGTCACACGGGTATTCAGCTTCTAGGAGAATCATTGTCTTGGCTTTGGAATTGCTCTAGTATTAGGTTACAATTGTTGATTCCACGCGCATCAATAAGGCCATGGTTCCACAGTTTGATCATGAATAATCTCCAGCACCTGCCATAACACATTGGATTATACATAAAAGCTACACTTGAGGAAAAACAGACTACATGCTACTGTAGATGATGAGCAATTATCACATATTGAGATAGACCTAAATAAGCAATTTTAAGGGAAACCCAGTGCCCCTAAAATGTCTAGACTTTGGTTGATGGCACTATTACTACATCAGATCTGAGAAAACATGTACTTATGTGACAAAACCAACAATAAATTTGCTTCCATGAGTAAAGAAATGAGCCACCCAAAAAAATGTAAATAAGATAAACAAGCTCAGAAATTCCCAATAAGCATCGTGATCACGAAATAGACCAACATTCTAATACATATTAGTAGTATTCAACAAAAACAGAGCAGTTTCTTTCTGGGAAACATATAGGATCTCAGATGAACCAAACAAAGGCACAATACAGGTGTATAGATTGGATGGCATCGGATAGAAATAGCAGTGAAATGTCGACGCAGGTAACTAAGAAGATTAATTACCACAACAAGGCCGGTGCTCGGGCGAACTCCTCACCATGCAGCTTTGAAAAAGCCTCACATGCCCAAGGAATGTGACCATCTGCCAACACCCTGCCACAGTAACAAGAAACATGTTATACAAATATAAAAATATAAAAAATAAAGAGGAAAGGTCGCACTTTAAATAAACTGAGACTCAAAATTAACAAATTTCTGAAACTAAAGGGGAATGAGCCAAGAAACAAACTCATAGAGGCCCAACTTGAATTAGAAGCTTCTCTATAGTACTTAAGCTCCTATTCTCACCCCCAGACCCACACAATCCTCTTGTTCCACCATCAATTCTCCCTCTGTTGCTCTTTACAGCCAGCAGGAAGGGAATTCAGCAACCGAACTTTTCCAACAGGCATCCCTTTATCACCAGCAAGTATGTAATTCAGCACGAGAAGACCACACTTGTTGCCCTTTGTTGCTTTATACAACTTTTATTTTTGTTTAATATATTATTATTCTGATAATCTTACCAGTCTGCTTGTGCATGAAGAGGGAAGAAAGACAGACCCAACTTCAATACACATTTACTTCAGGGAGAAGTTCGTGTAACTTGATAAGAACAGAGAAACAGGTTATCTGCTTCTCGAAAACCCTTAAATGACGCAGCATTTTCCAGAAGTTCTCAAAAAATGTCTATTTGAAAGCATCAGATCAAGGACGGCCTTCTCTTTTTCAAGGAACTCTTCTTTTGTCTTTCTCTTTTCCTATTTTCCAGGCAGTAGATGAAGGTACAAGGTGATGTCACTCTCGTACTGAAACTAGCTAGTTGGCTGGTAACCAATGGCATTTACTCACTAATACAACACTGTTTTTGGTTAAACGAAGATGAAAGGTAGTGGAAGGGGGAGGTGGACTGGTCTATCTACTTACCTAAAAACGGTTGTCACTCCCTTCTCTTTTGCACAATGGTAAAGAAGTAAATGAGACTTACCTTCTTATCACTCCACCTATTTCAGGGAAGGTTGGAGAAGCTAATCGCAGATTGTTGCACTTTTACTACATTCCTAAGTTACCCACCATCTACTATTACTTCACCGGCCCTCCCTCTTCACCCAAACAAAAATAAGAGCGGACGATACACACATCTCCACACCCCAGCACCCTGAATAATAATAGGCAAAATCATACAAGCAAATAAGATCACATACGAAATAAGATAGTACCTTTGCTTTCTAACAAATGAGTTCCACAGATGCATCATTTGCTTCTCATCTTTGGTAACATCCACGAAATCATCAAGCATCTGTAATATGTCTGAGGTTAGTTGAACGATTTCTTCAAGTAACTTCTACAATCAAAATCTTGCCTCTTGAATTAACTAAACTTTGCAGCAGTTCCCAAGGGAAATTAGTTGGAGGGAACAGTTTGGGTAACCTTTGGTAGTTCTCAAATGCATTATATTAAAGCAGCTTAAGAAGTTCCATGATTCTGCCTAACATTCAAGTTGAGATTATACAGTTCCTTTAAATGACAAGCAAGTATTGGGCCAAAAACATTTATCATCCAATCAGAACCAGACATCAAAACACACCTTTCACTAGTTGCTTTCAGTGGTCGATATTCATCCAAAGCATTCGAAATACCATTTTCATTCATTTGAGGAAAAATCAAAGGCGATTTGCCTAGTCTGTATCAGATTTAAGGAAAATGGTGGATCATGAATAGATAACATTCTGCAAAATGCTCAGACCTTGATTTTAGTTTTAAGCAATTACAGAATACATCCTTTGGATCAATGAAATTTACCAATTATAAAAACTTTACGTCATTAAATGCAATTTTGATTCAATTACTCGGCTGTTAAGAAAATTACAACTGCATCAGCAGCAAGCCATATGGACGCTACTGCTTGCTGATAATTTTCAAAACTCTAGTATACATGGGACAATATAACTCACTGACACAATATAGAGAAATGTGATACATATGTCCCTCCAGGATCATGAATAAATAACATTCTGCAAAATGCTCACACCTTTCTCCTCTACCCTTGTCCCCTTCCCAAGTGTCCTTACTCATGCCCTAGCCCCTCAATGACAACGACCCACCTCAAAGCCCACCACCACCCACCGAAAAAACCCTGCATTGATACTGATGATGGTCTGCCTGCCTCCATCTACCCTCTATGATGACGATCTCCTCTCACTGTTACACAGTGGCAATCTCCACTTTTAAATATCTGATTAAATTTTCTGTAATTCGGTTTTTTCCAGTTTTTCTATAACTGCTCATCAGCAATCCTTTATTTCTAAATGTCTTATGATTTATAATCGTACCTTTCTAGCTCTCTTTCTTTTTCTTTGGATGCGCTTTGCAGTATTTTAACCATTTTTACTATGATCTCTTTCTGCAAATTGTTCATTTTCTACATTTTTCCTTTATTTATCAGAATTTTATCCAAATGTTGTTGCTGTAACTTCTCTCTCCTTTCCCTCCCTCCCACCCTCCCACCCCCTTCTTTTTGCTAGATTTTTATTTCTTCTTCTGATATACGTGTTTTCTTGTAAGTTCTTTTAGTTGGACAATTGAATTGTTAGTGTGTAGGATTTGTGATGATCAAGGTGGGATGCCCATGGAATTATTACAAAAAATAGATGCAGCACTTTGCAATTAAAATATCGACTTGTCGCACAGGGTATTCATAGAGCTAACTGTGATCTGCTTGTGGCGAAAATGTGGACTGCATAACTGCAGGAGAAGTGCAATCCGGTCATTAGCCTGGTATAAAAAATGGATAGTAGTCCAGCTAATAATCCCGTCATTGTAACCAAATTATGGTTACTAAGTCCTGTTTGGCGCACTAAAAGACCCTTTATAGATTAATCCTACTACTTTCGAGCCCAAAATTTGGAAGACCCAATTTGAGAATGAAGAGAGTAAGTTCAAATGGCAAGTTCAGTTAATACCCTTATCAAAAAATAAGTTAAATTAATACAATATACTTAAAATAATTGTTACAACGAATGAATGAAAGTGGGAAAGTTTAATAAGAGGATATAACAGTAAGGCTAATATATAGTTGCTTTAAATAAGTTAAGAGCAAGTTGTTGCCATTTATTTGAAGGGTCAAGACAATTAGGACAAAACTATCCCAAAAGGTCAGCCAACTAATTTGGATGCAGAGTAAAATAAAGAAGCAAACTATATAATTATGCTGCATACCCTTCGATCTTCAAGATCTGCAACATCATCATCAACTTCATCCTCGCTGTCTCGATCCGATAAAACTTGCTCCAGTGCCATGGGCTTCACCCCAATAAAAATTTTCATTAGCAAACATATGGTTAAAAGGACTCCTCATTGCTTCCCAGATTTCTAAAGACATATATTGGCTATCAGTTCTTCGAAAGATTTTAAGATTCATTACAAGTAGACAAACATTTTAAAATTTATTCAATTTTGTGTCACATTCAGCAAGATAATTCACCTCCAGACCCAAGAACTGGGGCTATTTCAAATGGAAATCACCACACACAACAAGGGAAGCCAATATTGAACTGTCATTATTTAGATCTATGATTTGTTCAAGTGAAATTTTATATATCCAATGAATGATACCCAAACAAGTGAATTTTGCCGCATCTCTGATTAAACGACAAAAAGTGAACAGGGATAGAGTTTTTACAACTTAATATTGTAGGAAGCTTCCAACAATAAAACCAACACCAGTATATGACTACAAACTCTAGCAGTACTTTGGCAGTGGCAAAGCCTTCAGTGGTAGGGCTTTTTGATAAAATTGAAGCCTAGAGACTGAAGTCTTGATCATTGAATAATTTAGGTTGCTAAATTTTAACTCTCCACTGATTGATATGCAGCTAATCTAAGAAGTTAAGGACTTGTTAATGTCTACTATGCTTCTAATTTATTTGAGATTTCTTTTTTTATTTATAATAGGTTTACTTTTGAAAATTCTTAAAATCAGTCGGCGTAATTGTCAAAGAATTATTATGAACTAAATATCTGAACTTCTTGGTTTTAAACATTAACTTTATTTGAGATATGCAACATCTAATGATTTGCTATTCTTCAAATATAGTAACAAGTCAGGTTGCTTTAGATTAAATATAGTAAAGTATTTACAATGGTACCATTAAGAAATTTCTGATCCCGTAATAAAAGATTTAAATATCGAATTACTTAGCACACTGAGTTCAAAAGTGCTGATTTAATATTTCATAAGCTTTCACACCAAATACATTAGAAGACAAAATTAATAGTTTTCCACAGGAATAAGGAGCCAGCTGGTAGCTTCAGATCTTTTGTCACCCATGTAAATCCTTCAGTTCCCTCCAAAACACGATAGTAAAAGAGAAGCCGATTAATCAACACACAGGCAATTTAAACTCAAAACTACAATGGTTCCCACATATTCACAAACAGTCAAAACAGCGCAAATATTGCTCCAATTCGTCAAATATATAATCCAAAAAATATATCTTCTGATACTATCTAACTTATATAAAAGAATATATATCTTCTGATACTATTTGAAATATTTAAATGCAGTTTTCAAAATATTTCAGGATCACCAAGGCTCCCTGAATTTATGTATCCCCTAAGTTCAACTCTTGTCATTTTTTTCAAATCCTTCAGCTCCCAACGTGACAAAAACAATGTAAAATGCTGGAGTCAATTTTTGGATGAAGAAACCTCTTTTTAAAGAGAAAAATTTAGATTACAAGATTTAGCTTGTATAAAACGATATTGGTCTGATACCAATAATGGTAATCGTTTCAGTATCTTAAGGATATATATATATCCCTGATTGAAATTAATTGATAGTGCTACATACCCTGTCTCGTATAGAGTATCACAAATCCATTTGACAAGCTTGGAAACTTACAGGAACTATATTTTCCTTTTTTGTCCTTCCTAATTCACTAGGTGTAATACAAGTTGTACTTCAACTAATTAAGCTACATTAAATTTTTTCTTCAATTAGAATACAATTACCTAAACAAGCTGCAGAATGTGTGGCTTCCTATGTATGAATCATCTTGTACAGAGTGATAGGTCAATACATTTTTAATGCAGAGAACAAAATAGTTCTCACGGAATAGGTTCCTTTTTTCAGTTAAGCAAACATGATAAATAAAGCAGCACTCAAAGAAAAATAAAAGATGGCTACACATTCTCCTCTTTTTGATTCATTTTTTTTGACAGATATTAATGTATTATGCTACTTCACTTTTCAAATATCACGGATGACACACATGATCAAATAGTTCTGCCATTAGAAACAAATAATCCTTCAAAACTTGACTGTAGTGAATCAAAAAATTATCCCATGTTTCCTTCCGGATAAATGAACACCCTCCCATGTTGTCATATCCAGTGCGCCCACAAGTTGGTTAACGACTTTGAGATGCCAATTGATCCTCTCTTATACCAAGTATAAATTGTTCATCATCTATATTTTTTAAGAAGGCCATTCTATACAGTTGCAAGGAGGTAACCCATCATTCACTGATAGGATACTCTAGTTCAGCCTTGGGTCAATTTACCTATCAAGCAAGTTGACTTGACCAAAAGCAGACATATTGGCACACTGACTGAACTTTTAAGTGCAACGTTCACTCTGTAAGACTCTAAGACAAATATAAAATAATCCTGATTGTTAAGCATTTCACATTCTAGTCCATCATCAATAGGAATAGCAGTTGCTTTATGAGGAACCAAAAAGAAATTTCAAGATCCCAGAGCACAAGGTAAGAAACTGATTACCTGGGCTCTATGAGAATGAAAGAATTGCCTTTTTTGCAGGAGTGCACGACTGTAAAAGAAAAAACAACATTGTATTAAAAGCCAGACAATCTTATCTACGAACTATAAAGGTAAACCATAATACACTCGCGATTAGTATCACATCAAAGATATTAAGCAAAACCAAGAAACACAGAAATACAGATAATACAGAAAAGCATCACTGGACAGTCTTAATACAATCAATTTTTAGCATTCTTAACCTAGATAGGAACCAGTCCTAATTTTGTAGCATATAAGCTCAAATAGGATTTAACAGCTGACAGAGAAAGAGAGGGAAAGGGTTCGACGCATCCATCAAATGGGAAGTAAAGCGCAGTCAACGAGAAACTCAAAACACGAGTGTACCTTCAAACTACAGAAAGGATAGTCGAGAACCAGCTCGTCTTGCCAATACTAAAATCGTTATCATGGTCTAGGTTTCTGATAAAGTTAAGATTGAGGCTATCTAATAGGCAGAACAGAAAACCACCATAACCAGGCCCTATTAGGCACTAGACCTAAGGCAAAGACCATATTTGAAGATGGAGGCACCCTTGGATTTTTTGAAACACTAGAGGGCTAGTATATCCTTCATAGATACAACTTCATAACTGACGTAGGTCCAAGTTGGATACAGTGACCCTACTGGTCACTAAACTAGAGGCCAAGACAGAATTTGAAGGTATGGGGCACCATTGAATTATTGAGAAAAAACTAAAGGGGGAGGAAGTATCTTTCACAAGAATTTCCTAAAATTCTCATAATTACAGACATCAAAACCTCAAATTTACAAAACATCGGAGCATGTTTACACCCCACCTCCCAAAAACAAGCACCATAACTGCAGTAGGCCCAATGGGATACAGTAATAAAAGGGAAATAATAGCTCCAAATTAGACAGCCAATAGTCCACAGTGAAGTTCAAGGGATTAATGCCTACTGCAGCAAACAAAATCAGCTAATTGATGATTTATTGGACACCGTACTGAAGCTCTTCTGCAGTGAAATCCTTTCCACCCAAAATAATTTGGTTAAATAAAAAATGCTACTCGACACTGTGCCGTCGAACATACTTTCTGGGATCAGAGCGCTCAACTGATAACTTTCTTGACTTGGCAAACTGAAGCAGTGCTGGGGGTGCAAGGGTGCTTCCTGGTAAGGATTGCACAGAGTCAGGATCTGGATACAAGTGACCAGTTGCAGAGGAAACGCCTGCACCATTGGGACTTGATGGATCACACTCTACAACCTCAGCAATGCCTGATAAATATTCAACAAAAGTGTCCCCGCATGAGCAGAATGACAGCAGTTATTTCATGAAATTCTTCTTCAATAATCATGCAAAGTGCTAGAGGAATAAGCCTTATCTTACAACTTGCTACAAGTTGTATGAAAAGAACAGTACACTACCCCCTTCCCTCCCTCCTCTCAAATAACACAAATAACAGAAAGTCAATATCGCTGGAACAATAGTCAAACAGAAGTTAATGGCATTCAACAGTTGGGCTGGCAGAAAGACACCAATATTTCAGATTATACCGTTAGATTATGCCACTTAGTAACTTGGTAAATTTTCTCCTCTTCCATCAAGCAGTTGTGTAATTAACTTTGCAAAGCAAGAATCTGAGTTAGCAAATGAATGGACATTAGGACTAAAATTGACTTGGCAGATATTCAAACCTATGCATTTTGGATTATGAATTGTTGTTTGAGTCCAGAGTTACTTAGGAAAATTTCGAGGGGAAGTTGAACAGAACTAAAGTTGTAACAACCCATGGACCGCTCGCGTTGAACCCAAAAGGGGTTCGCTGTGAAATTTGTCTTAGGCAAACCCCACATCACCTCATCAAAACGGAAGGGAAAGTTAGGGCCCACGTGAGGGCGAGTTCAAGATTCAACTATGGAGATGCCTTTTGGGTTAAAGCCCAAAAGAGACAAAAACATGAGGCCCAAAAGCCTTGCGATGGCCCAGAGGGATCGGGCCAAAGTGGACAATACTTTGTCAGCAAACCTGGGCCGTTACACATATCATGCATTTGGGACATGCTCAAGCAATTGGGCCATGTGTCCCATGATACGCCCCACCTATGCCGCAAGATGATTGGCATTCACCTTGCACCGGGGAATGCTACAGTTCCAACGGTAAAAACATTGGAACAATTAACTCACATATACATAAATGCAATAGCTAAAATTCTATATAAGCGCGTTTAGGTACATAAAAGATCTTCACTCCGTCGGCAAGTACTATAAGGGAGAAGGAGGTGATTGATGTAGCTTAAACCTATCTCTTACTCCCTTATAACCCTCCCACCCTAATAACAAGGAGAAAGACTGGGTTCATATGATCATAACATTCAATGGTTTTTTTTTTTCCATTTTGCTTTTACCCTCCTATTGTCTTCCCATTACCGAATACTTTTGTTTTCTTTCAACTACTGTTACTCTGTTTAGAATTTAATTTTTAATATTTATAGATACATACAAGCATGTGTGACTTGGTATGAAATTTATATAATCATTATTCCACCAAGATATTTTTTCATTGATAACTGAGNGAAAGCTTCATACTGACTTCTTACGACTCTGATATACGGCACGATCTGGAAACAAAAGAAGGGCAACATTTCCTAAATGCCCTATAGTCTCTCAATTATAAATGTGGCGCGCAACACACCCATAAGTGAGACTATACTAGGAACGACTTTGTAGACTTCCTAAGACATGACCCGCTCTGATACCACTTTGTCACGCCCCAAACCTTGGGTGGCGTTGCTGGCACCCGGTGTCGTGCTGGCCCGAGCGAACCACTCTGTAGCTCATGATCGTTCGACTAAAACTATAACATACATAGGTCGAATTAGCTGGACTCATTCCTTTTGTAACTATCATGGGCCCACATGGCAACAACTCATAATGTATAACTATAAGTGGGCAAACACTGTATCAATGAACCATCGTTTTTAAAACATGAATACATATGGGCCGTCAAGGCCTATAACATATGCTACAGTTCCAACGGTAAAACATTGGAACAATTAACTCACATATACATAAATGCAATAGCTAAAATTCTATATAAGCGCGTTTAGGTACATAAAAGATCTTCACTCCGTCGGCAAGTACTATAAGGGAGAAGGAGGTGATTGATGTAGCTTAAACCTATCTCTTACTCCCTTATAACCCTCCCACCCTAATAACAAGGAGAAAGACTGGGTTCATATGATCATAACATTCAATGGTTTTTTTTTTTCTATTTGTTTTACCCTCCTATTGTCTTCCCATTACCGAATACTTTTGTTTTCTTTCAACTACTGTTACTCTGTTTAGAATTTAATTTTTAATATTTATAGATACATACAAGCATGTGTGACTTGGTATGAAATTTATATAATCATTATTCCACCAAGATATTTTTTCATTGATAACTGAGAAATACACGAGGTATGGGTGGCTAATAGGCCGAGTCGAGTCAGCTAGGCACACTACCGGCACATAAAAGAGCCGGGCCGACCCCGCCCACATATAGGAAGGGGATTAGAGTGCGCTAGTACAGGTTAGGGGGCTGGAGTGGGCTGGTACACTTTGGCTCGGAACCAGGACCGGCCCACATATAGAAAAACTGGTAGCCCGGCACATTAACCCACCAATTTTGTTTCCTTGGTCAAAATATGTTCATTGAAAGTGGACAACTTTCAAAGTTTGCCATTGCTTAATGGCCTAAACGGCTAAATCAGTACCTCATCCCCCAACACATCTCCACCCCTACCAAAAAATTATATTTTTAACCCTCTACTTCGAAAGTTACACTTTGGCCCTATTGTTAAACAAAATAATACACCAAACTCTTCTTAACATTTTGAAATGGTGGAAGGATAACTTTAAACAATTTCTTATTCTTTACAAGAAATTTGAAATGGTGGAAGGATAACTAAACCGCTAACCGAACCGATAAGATATTGGCCGGTTCAGTTTTGATTTTAGCAGTTATCGCTAATGCACACAAGATATGTATTCCATCAACCAAAGATTGACAAGGAGAAATAATTGGAATGCCATTTTGGATTGAATGATATTCCAAATCACATTCAAGGAGAAATAATTGGAATGCCATTTTGGATTGGAATGCCATTTTGGATTGGAATGCCATTTTGGATTGAAGACGTCATGACAATGTCATCTGACCAAAGTGGCAAGAAGCGATAATCAAGATAGTCTGATACCATCCTCCTTGAATTGATATTGAGGAGATGTCTAATTCTTTAAGAAACTTCTGATATTTTTTATTCATCTATTGTACTTTGAAGTTCCTCTTTATTTCTTTTACTTCAGTAGAAACTCGTGAGTCTTGTTGTAATTGCAAGTTTAAAGTTCAAAAACAAAATTGCAATTTGTATTGAACTTGCAAATTTCAAATCTCAAAGTTATACTAAAAAATCTAAGGCTAATTGAGCTTTTGAGGGTTTTTTTTTCAAATTTGTGTCCAAATACAAAATCCAATACTTTAACTTCAGTTTAGTAGTTTCTCATTTTTACCTCATCAAACTTTAAGTTTAAAGTAGAAACTATTGTGGTAGAATGTAAGTTAGTAAGTAATTTGCAAGTTTAAACATTAAAGTTAGTTAGCAATTTGCAAGTTTAAACTTAATAAATTTAAAACTTTGAGCCTTTAAGGAAATGTATCCAAATACCCAAATTCCAAATCCAGTTCTTCAATTCACTCTTTACCTTCTGTATTAAAATTAAAAGGTTGTAAAAAAAATCCCCAACACATTAACCCCGCCCACTTAGCCCGACCCCCAGCCCACATCCTTAAGAGGTCGTGGAATGGAGTGTGCTTAACTTCGGCCCAAAGAGATGGCCCACAACCCGGCACACAAAGGGAAGACCAACTCGACTTGGCACACTGGCTCAATGTGCCTTCGCTTAATGTGTTGAATTGGGCCTGGCCCAGCCCACATGCCAACCATGCCCTGAGGGCCAGTAGCACACAAATTCCACCAAGGTAATATGCTAATTCTTCACTGAGCGACGAGTGTATAAAGGGAACATCTGCTAACATTTTGCCATAGACAAGACAATTTAAATTTTATTGCAAAGTATGCAAGGAAAGATCGTCTAGGAAGTTTCTTATCTGCAAGAACCAAACAAATTTGCACTTTCAAACAGCAAATATGCACCTTTCACGTACAAAACGATGTCGGTGATACTTTGATAACAAGTAATATTCATTTACGTGTATCCATTAAGAAACCGTGATCTACCACATTTACAAAGGAACACAGAACTAACAACAAATTGAATAATCCAAGGAATACAATGGGTCATCATTACCATTAATCTTGTCATTGATCCCATTCGTTGATGTAGGGAAATCTGAATCTAAAACAAGTGGGTGCACATACTTTGAATTTTGAACCAAGTCCTGTCGTTTCCTCCGTCTTAGTGGCTTTGAACTGAGCACAAATTACAGGTAAACCAGAAGAATATCATAACATACTTCTGAAATAACATCAAATAGCTACAATACAAACTGAAGGAGTATGATAGTTACATACCAAAAGAAGAATGTTTGTTGCTTAGGATCAACTCCATTAACAACAACCTGAACAGCAGTCCAGAAAGAAAATTAATTCGCACATTAGAAAAAGCAAGACTAGTAAGATCAGTCAAGCAATTTCAAGTTTCTGAAATGAATTAAATAATAGAGAACTGACTTCTCAAATCTTTGCCTAACAAAGTTATAGAGAACGTTAGAATCTAACCAGGTATCATGCAAATAAAAGACATGACCTTATTAAGGAAATTCACCATTAAACTCTATGGCTTTTCTTTTTCATCAAGAACAGTAAAGCTTCCTAGAAGATCAATTGCAGACACGATTACAGAAATCAAAATACCTAAAATAAGAGATAAGCATCCATCTCCTACCATCATATCGAGAAACTACTTTGCAGTGTAGCAGATTTACGCTCAGGGCAGATATTACAGACCATATACGATTCACCTCCGAGTTAAAAGAAAAAGAGCTGACCTCAGATCTCCACATGTCACTTCTCACAGATACATTTACAGCTTGATATTCTTCATTTACCTACAAAAGATGCGAGGTTAAATTTGACGGCTCAGACAAAATACACAATTAAAATATAATTTGAAGCTTGCTGAAGTTTACCAACCCAAAATTCAAAGTTGAACAAATCGTGAGATGAGCATAAGTGATATCTCAAACCCTAAAACCAGAAAAACAAAGATACAAAAATATTAAACTGCTTATTTAATCAATCTAAATCAAATTTCTCACCCAAACATTTCAGGGTGGATACAGTATAGCTTAGTTTTGTTAAAGAAACAAAAGAAGGTTATCCCAGTCTTTACCTTAAAGCTGGCACATTTTACCAAGCAGAGAGGACATGTGAAGTCCTCAGTCACTGCAAGTTTAGAGAAAATAGCAACTAAGTAGCTTGAACTGCACAAGTTATGGTATAGAAGGAATTTAATCATGGGAATGAATACCGCTCATATAGAAAAACATAATGCGAATTTCATCAATTTCACCATTCTAAAAGCCATTAACTGCATGCACACCAAGGGCTGAATATATCTTGATACACGTAGGATGCTGACAATTCAAACAGATTGGTTTGACATAGGAAAGACTAAAATCCGACTAGTAAGTTGGAGACCTTTAGCTGCTTGCTCCTACAATTAATTTCAAAACGACATATGTTGTGCACTATTTTGCTTTATTATGCCCTGACTCTAACGTTGTGACTAAGAGATTGTACTCAAAATTTGACGTAAGCCTGCATTTTACATGATCCAACAACATAAAGCATTCATGTCAGTAAAGGAAGGGAGGGTACATCAAAGTAAAGTGAGACGTCCAAGTAACAAAATACCAGTGAGTTCAGGATGCAGTTTAGGCAAGAACATTTTATTTTGAAGAGAACAACAAAATGGAGCTGATCTTTTAACTGGAAATGAAGCCTGCTTTAATCATTTTAAATCCATGAAAATAACAAAACCCTTTATAAAACAAAACTAACCAACATAGAGTCTGAGCTGAGTTCAAAAGCACAAGAAACTAACCACCCAGAGCAAACCAAAGATATCAGTGGCAATATCACGATAAATAAAATGAAACCAGCTAAATATGAAGTCAAACAAGCCATAGCTTTACCATAAAATGAAGATTTACCTTCTGTTCTCTGCAACTTGTTGTTATAGTACCTATAGTTGAAGACAACATTTCCTGTCCTCAACCTAGAAAGCGCAATAAGTAAATGGATTAGCTGCACGTCTACCTCATAATGCACATGAAATTTTTTGAATCTCTTTAACTTAGTAGAGAGCTAAGTCCCCACTTCCAAAATTCTCTTTAAAGAAAAGAAAAGAACTATTTTTGTTTTCTTTTATAGGTAAGCATATGTTGTTTGCTAAAGAGAAAAGAAAACTTTGAAAAGGGACATGCAGCAGAAAAGACAAAAATCAGCAATCTTTCAAAACCACATAGAGCATGGCTCGATATTTAGCAATTTTATGATATTGAGTTGCGTCACTACATTCACATTGGGAAACAAGAAGGATCAAAGGATTGATCAATTTGGTTGAATATGTTGAGTCAATTACAAACGAGTGAAGGTGGCAAAAATGGGTAAGAATGATAAGGTCTACCAAACATGCACAAAACTTATTGGGAATATAAGAGGAAAAGTTAATCCTGCTCTAACAAGGTAGATATACACCAGTACAATAACTTTGCTAGAGCAGTATGGCCCCGAATGCTGACCTGAGCTAAAGAGCCAAATCTACCTAGGGCACGGGCTTAAATAAGCAATAAACTGAATGCAAATAGGTGCAGGGGGGAAGAGTTAACACAATGTTGGAAATATCCGTGTCAACAACAGTAGTACTGATAATTTCTTGTACAGCTAGCTGAAAGGAGCATTGCATAACAGAAATACAAGAAAGGCAATACACACGACAAAAAAGAAATGCAATGCAGAAAACAGACCAGAGATGGGTAACTTCACCGTATTATTCGAGGCAATGAAGTCGTAGGAATGTCATCATAGGAGAATGAATCATAAACTGATTTTTCTCCAGCACCAGCTTCTTCCGCAGAAATTTTGACTTGCAGCTGCTGTATTGTTGCCTTTCATAATCCAACCATTATGCAAGAAAATCAATTATATAAGCAAAGAGATGAAAAATCTTTTACTACAATCCTCAAGGACATAAGCACTGAGTACAAAATGGCCTACCAGAGCCACAGAACTGCGGGGATACTGCAAGGAAATATGTCTGTCTTTGTCCAAACAGCTTGTCTGCAGATGAAGACACAATAGCCATCAGAGAAGATGGTTCCTCTTGGTTTTATTTTTTTCTTCCTTTCTTTTTGGGATGGAGGGAAGGGGGGGGGGTTTTGGGGGGGGTGGGGGGGGTTATTGTTTCTTTTTCCTCAAGGAAGAAATGAAGGATCTCTCGGCAAGAAACAACAACAAACCCAGTGTAATCTCACTAGTGGGGTCTGGGATGGTAGTGTGTACGCAAACCTTACCCCTATCTTAAGAAGATCGACATGTTGTTTCCGATAGACCTCGGCTCAAGCAAAGATGAAAAAAAACAGTAACAACAAGCAGTAACAACATCAATATAATAAGAAACCGAAGCGAAAGATACCGCAGGTAGTAATAGAGATCTCTTTTTTTTTATAAGTAAACAAAAGTGATACTCCTTCTGGTCCATAATAAGTGACCTTTTGGCCTTTGGAACACCCCTTAAGAAAATATTAACTCCTAAAAAAAAGGTGTTTTGTCTAAATTACCATTAATTAAAATTTGTATATAATTAACTGGACACATTGTGATATATAAATAGGACCAAATTTGGAAAAATAAAGTTAAATTCTTCTTGATTAGGTAAAAATGACACTTATTTTGGACCAAAACAAAAAGGCCAAAAGGTCACTTCTTATGGACCGGAGGAAGTAGCCTATTTCACCGGGCACAGAATTTAAGAAAAAAGAAAAGACTTTTGAACTTGTGGCGTAAAATGAAGCACATATATTTTGTGTGTATATATTGCATAAAGGTAATTGTTTCCAAATATGGAAATGAGTCATTTTTTTTGGCACGGACTAAAAAGGAAATAAGTTCACATAAATTGAAACGGGGAAGTACTATCTATTCTATTACTACAGGTAGTAATAGAAATCTAAGAATCAAAAAATACAAGACTAACACGAACAATACTGGTATGAAAAAGAAAAACGCTCTACTACCTACTAACCCTCTACCCTAGTTCTCAACTTCCACACTCTCCTATCAAGGGTCATATCCTCGATAAGTTGAAACAATGCCATGTCCTACCTAATCACCTCTCCCCAATACTTTTTTGGCTTACCCCTACCTCTCCTCAGACCCACCAAGGCCAACCTCTCACACCTCCTTACTGGGGCATCTATGCCTCTCCTCTTCACACGCTCAAACCATCTCACCCTCGCTTCCCGTATCTTGTCTTCCACGGGGACCACTCCCACCTTATCCCGAATATCTTCATTCCTAATTAATCCTGGTATACCCGCACATCCATCTAAACATCCTCATTTCTGCTACTTTCATCTTCTGGACATGGGAATTCTTGATTGGCCAAAACTCTGCCCCATACAACATAGTTGGTCTGAACACCACTCTATAGAACCTACTTTTAAGTTTTGGTGGCACATTCTTATCCCACAAAACACCAGATGCGAGCATCCATTTCATCCACCCTGCTCCACTATGATGTGTAACATCCTCGTCAATCTCCCTATTTCCTTGGATTATAGACCCAAGGCACTTGAAATTTCCTTTATTGGGATGACTTGTGTATCAAGTCTCCCATCCACATCCGCTTCATGGGCCACGTCACTGAACTTGCACTCCACATATTAAAAGAAGATAAAGTTCCTTTTTATCAGAAAAAAATATATGAAAAAATTGCCGGCAACAAATTCTGTGTGATTATGCATCACTATTACTTATTTCATTACGTGTGACCATAATATCAACACCAGAACAACTTCATGAACAAATCAATCAGAAGTACTTCAGCAATGCATTTGTCCAGAAGAACTAGCCTCTACAGAATATCTAGCAATGCCCACTATGAACGGATTCTACATCATGAAACACTAAGTGAAAACAGTCTACCTAGAAGAAGCATCCTCTCTACCAGATACGTGAAGAACCGATGACTTGGTTATCAAGCCCTACACTTATGATTAAAATAATAGAGGACCAGAAATTGCTCGTTTTCACTTCCGGAGATACTAAAGTAATACAAAGGAGCAACATGAGGAAGAGAAAAAATATCTGTCTTAACTAACAAAAGCCAACTCCAAATAGAGTAATGCCTCAGAGAAGGCACATTGATTCAGAGCTTCCGATGTAGTCAAGTGAACAACTAATGGAGATAGATCATATCCAGATTCAACATTTGTATGGAAGATTTCGTGTTTTTAATCCGAGAAGCTGGTTTTAAATCTATTTCGATATTGGTAATGAAAAAGGAGGCATATTGAACTGAGTTAGGGCAATTGCAACACCCTCACCAGTGGCTAGACCTCAATTTACTGAGGTGATGCTCTAATAGTATTTGGTTAAAGAAAATTTTCAAAAACCACAAGTTTTGTTAAACTAAGAATGCAAATTTTGAAGGAGAGAAAAATTAGTTATCAACTCGATCACTCTTCCAGATTGTCAATGAGATGTTGGTTCACAATAAGTCAACTAAGCAATATTAAACAAGCACTACATACTTCTATTAGATACTTCTGCTAGTGTACCTTCATAAAACAAGGGCTCAAGTCAACAGTTGACAACATCTCAGCTCTCTCCCCTAAACTCAAATTGGGAGACTTTTCCCACAATAGATGAAGTAATTCCATCGGCATTCTTCCCAACAAGCAGTGCCCTTCAAGATTCACTATCACAATTTTGAAAATAAGATTAGAACAAGAAAGAAGATGGACCATGAGAAACCTGAAGAAAAGTTGTTCTTGATGGAGTGAAAACATCCCAGCATTCAAACCAACTAAATAAGAAAAAAGGAGGTTATCAAACATAATGAAAAAGCATAAAGCAGCAAAAGACAATAAAGATTGCAGAAAGCCTAATACAACGGAATTTGACATAACAACAACCATTATGTGGTTTTTCTTTTCATGCGCTAATGAAGCTAAGCAATGAGTGCATGTTCCAAGTGTTGAGAAAAGTCTGTGGACTTTGTTGAGATCCATTTGTTGACAACATTCCAGATATAAATTCAAACTTTGTATTACATATTTTAAACATCAAATGACAAACATGAATTCATAATCATGTTTAGGTTTATGGTTGTTTCTTAAGCTGGCCTGTGCTGCCATAAGATTGAGATATAAAAAGTTTCCAGTGTTCCTTTTAAATTTGATTGGTTTCACACAATTGTTGATGTTAAGACTTCAGGAATAATATCATCAAATCATGTTTCAAGGTCCTAAATGTGCTAGAACCACCAGCTTTAAATTATAAGACGTCCAAATCTTGTCAGGTCCACAGAGACATGAAGAGAAGAAGGTAAAATTAAAGAGACAGTGTTAGTGGATGTGAAGGAGAATCACTTTATAAGGGCATAAAGGGACAAGTAGAAGGATACTCTGAGCTTCTCTTTCCTCAATCAGTTAAATATGAAGATCAAGAAGGAAATGCTTTCTAAGAAAGGCAAGAATAGGAAAGAAATACTATAGACCTAGGTTACCATACTGCAAATACTATGTCATTTCATTATAGTCTTCTTTCTTTTACTTCCGGCTAGTGAAATAGGTCACTCAAAACTAAAGAAACATGTTTCTACATTTGGCACATTATAGATCATTAGACTTTCAATATACGTATGCTTAACTTATTCTAAAGCATCAAAATGAATACCAAAAGAGATAACAAAATGAAAAATTGCTGAGTTTGACAAATGCCAGCAATCATAAAGCTTATTTGACACTGGTAACTGCACAAAATAAGGATCTTTCCAACTTCCCCGCTACTTACATGGAAATGAAGATGTATCCAAATGATCTCTAGCAAGTTCAGCTGCAAAGGAAGAAACCATTTATAGTTGGCCCTCAATCTCAACAAATAAAGTTTCACAAGACACTTTATACCTACCAAAGCTGACAAACAGGATGACAAGAGAGCCAGCCCTTATTTCAGCTGAAAGTTTATCCATTTCAGGGAGAACGAATTTTGCTTGAGCTCGATTTATTCCATCAACTCCAGTGAAAGAAGTTGATATGCATGCCCGCCTAAATTGAAAGACAGCAAAATGCTGTAACCAATGGCATTAGCGAGGTACCCAAGAGCATACAAGATTACTACTACTGGATGTATTTGCACAAAATAAGAACTTACTGCCTCAGCACCCGCAGCATTTGATAATGGCCTTGCCAAAATTACACACAAAGGAAAAACATTCTGGACCTGTGATTCATCGTTCACAGTTGCTGGTACATATATTGCCATTTGAATCCTAAAAAGAATAGCCACAGTAGTAAACCAAAGCAATCTAATTGCAAGTATATATATACACTGATGAAATCAATATTATTAAAAGTCATCGCTTGGTTGCTTAATGCGATGAAGTGATGCGGAGCAAGGGGTTATCATTTCATGGTGAAGCCATGTGTTTCAGTGAAGCGTGGGCTTCAAACAATTACCCACAAAGTGATCCCAACAAGAAGCAGCTGATTCTTTGAATTTCATCTTTAAGGACTTAGATTTTTTTGGATAAGTGAGATATTTTATTAATTGAGGTATTTGAATTTCACCTTTAAGGAGTTGGCTTATTTTGGTGATAAGTAAAGGTATATTTTATTTTATTTTTATTGTTAAAAGAAGTCAAGGTATTGTATATTGGTTGCTCAAACTAGTTATTTTAATTGAAATTTGTTTATTATAGTATAAAATTAATATACATTTTGCATTTTAATATTATGAGATTGTGTGTTTCACTTAAGAAAGCATGCACTTCACTTCGCTTTTCGCCTCAAGCCTCATGGACCTCGTTGCTTTTTTTACACTTTTTGCTTAAAAACAGTGGATGATATTATAGGGTGAAATGATGAATAACATGTACCATATTGATAACCAACTACAGACTCAACTAAATTGTGTTTCATCAGCTATTTCAAACAGTAGTCAGTAGACTTTGCCTTCGACTTAGACAATCTTGGCAACAGTAATTAGGTCTGCCTTCTAAGAAATTACTTTGCACCTATAAGGTGTAAGTACCCATGAACAAATGTTTGAAAGAAAAATGTTTACCAAAAAGTCAAAGTGTAGTGCTACGAAGTATGAACACTGAATCAGATTGGGAAGACCTATATTATCACTTGGGACTTGTTTGATATAGACCACTGAATCATTTCCTGATCATCTATACAAATTCTTTAAATTTAATAAAATAATAATGAGGAAACAACAATTATAATTGTGAAATAATTCAAACAAACATTCCCATTAGAATCAAGTAAAAGCAGGCATGTCTCCCCACAAATTTAGAGCTTCACTTCCAAATCAGCATAGACTATATTACATGACAATCAGAAGTGCCTCAGAGCCTCTAGTATAGAGCATATGAGACATAACCTTGCATAAGGGGTAATTTGGGAGTGAAAGCAATCACAATCAAAATATACCTCCTTTTGTGCTTTGCTTGAATTTTGTATTGTAAACATCTTTGAAGGAAGGAAGGCTGCATGAAATTCTACATTCTGTTAGAAACATCTTGCACGAAATGCCAAATGTATAATTAGCACATCATAAAACTGACGAGACCAATTACATTAAAACTAGTAACAGTTGGCAGCTAGCAAAAATGGGAGGGAGTCAGGACCAAAAACATCTCCTCAAAATCATGGGTGAGAGAAAGATAATAATCTTGAGTATGCTTTTGTCAAGAATGCTTGAACTGACAAAAGATACGTATATATGAAACATCAGCGCTGAGAAGAATGACAATAGTCTTAAATATTACGGGAAACACTTCAACTTAAACAAGATGTGCTTATTTAAAATGATGTTTGATACATATAAACAAAAACAATAAAATCAACAATCTTTCCAAGACCATTAATATCAACAAGGAAATTAATGCCAAAAATGTTAGCCTTGAGGAATAGGTAAAAATGGTCTTTAAGTATATTACATTTCTAACGGCACGGCGTTGGAGAATGTTGTAGAGTTCAACAGGTTTGCAATAAGTTGAAAGGCTTTCTTCAGCAGCAATCTTCTCCTCTGCAGACAAATGTGTAGCAGAATCTTGCCTGCACATTGAGTCTGTAACTGTAGAGTAACTGCAGTAGCAAGTGTAATGCCTGCTCCACAAATTATACTATGACAATCAATATCCATGTTTCAGTAAGTGCATTGGTGTATTTTAAAATGTAATTATTGACAAAAATAGCTATAAGACCTCAAATGCAGGGCACAGGGAATATCTTACGTGGTTTCACGAGCCACTAAAGGTATGCCTGGCATCCTTGTCAGATAGTATTCAAATGTATATTCATAGTTCTTTCAACTTCTCTAAATTCAGAAATTAAAAACATGTGAGAAAAGAATCATAAAATACATGAAATAATGGGCAACAAGGATAGGAAAGATAATGGTAATATTGTAGCGCCCCCTAGGAAGGTTGCCGCTTATACAAAAAAACTAAGCTAAGCTACGAGCAATTATTATCTGAAATTAATTTAAACATATAATTATCATAATCTATTAGCAGAAATAGGCCCACGTGAACGTGGTACAAAATACAACATTTCAACATAGTAAAATCTCATAAAATTCTTAAAAGTACGAGAATATTACTTTTAAAAAGAGTGAGCAATACCTATTTGAATTAAATCAACACCTTAGGTTGTACCAAATAACTAGCAGCGTTGTCAGAGGCGAAAAGTTCTAAAAAAGTGCTCCAGGTCTATTGGGGCTTTAACCACAAAGCGCAACCAAAGTGCGGGCTTTAGTAAAAAAAGGCGCATTAAAGGAAAAAATTAAAATAATTATCTGTAGTTCAAAAAAAAAAAGAATAAATTCATTTATAATGTTTACCTCAACAACTAATATACTTATTTGCAAAATTATATTTGTCCTTTAGTACCTTCGATTAAATATGGAAATCATGGCCAATAGGTCACATGCCTTAGTCTTAGTGTCTTGCGTACACTGAAGCACATCTTAAGCGAGGTGAAGCGCCCTCCCTGAGCTGTTCTAAGCTTCAGATCTTAAGCGTGCCTTAAATAAGCCTTTGGCAACACCGATAACTAGTAGAGGAATATTTTTCATACTGCAACATTCAAGACTTATTCTAAGCATGAAATTTGACTTTTAATCTCAAATACAAACTAGTTAAGTCTCCCAAGTTCAATGAAAGTACCAAATTAAACATATCACAAGATTTTGGTAAAGACAATGCCAAGATAGTCAAATCATTCACGAAATCAAGTTACCAAAATAATAGAATCATGAACCCATATTCATTCAAAAGTACATATCTAAGTATCTTATGGATCATGTACAAGTCTCCAAAAGTTTTTTTTTAATATACATATATATATATATACATATATATATATATATATATATATATATATATATATATATATATGTATATATATATAGATGTATATATATATGTATATATATATATATGTATGTATTTCTATGCTTACGCAATTATGATCTTCATCTAAGCTTCCAAAGAGTCTGCTTGTATGACCATCCTCAAGTCTCTTTCGGTACATCACTTATGATAGTAACAAACTATCGCTAACCATAGAACTTACTGGCACATAACTTTAGGCTTGGAGCCGTTAAATTCTCCAATTCCCATAATAAAATGCATAGATTATATGAAACTTAGAAATATAAATTTAACCTAATTCTTCATGTCAATAAGTTAGTTATGTATCAACAAAAGTACAACAAAGAAATTCATAAACAAAAGTTCATCAAATCTTCATCAAGTTCATAATGAGGATACAATATTTGTAGAGAATGAATATCTAACCAAGAAGTAGTCAAAAATACTAACACTCACATCCAAAGTATCAATAAAGCTTCTCAAGTTAATTCAATAAATCGATCAATTAGTCAATTTAGCCCAACATATACGTCTTGCAATCACATCAAGCATGAAAGTTAACAAGAAGGACCGAGGTCCCGAATCAAGTAGGGTCAAAACCCAATAATCAAGAGAATCAAAAACCATATTGAAAGTAGCTTTCTCACTCATACTTAAAAAGAACAAAGGTTCATAGTAAGATGAAATGCTAATCCAAAGTCAAAATGGGGCAAGATCCGAATAATATCAAGAGGCAATGCCAATATTAGAGACAAAGTCACAATCACAATAAGGACAAAGTCCCAATAAGAATACAATAATGTTCAAGCAATTCGCATATGTGGGCGAGCTAATGAGTTTTACAAATACTTCAATCAATACAATTTTTAATATCTCTTTAACTCACCTACAAAAATTTACCCTCAATGGTAGACAAATAATTAAAATGTCCCAAAACATACCTTCTAAATTAGTCATAGCAAGTAAGGTACTATATAGGAACAACCAATATAACAACTTAAAGTATAGGAAATTTTTACCAAGGCTCAAGCTATTAAGTACTCCAACAAAATAAAATGAAAAATTCAAGTTTCTAAGGACCCGTTTGGCCATAAATTTTGCCTATATTTTGGCAAAATCCCAAATCCCAAATCCCAAAACCAGCTCAATAGCTGGTTTTGAGCCAAAATATTTACAAACACTAATAATATACATGTTTTTCCAAAATAAATTTGGGAATTATGTTTTGAAAACGCATGTCCAAACACATTTTCATCTTCAAACCAAACTTCACCCAAATCAGATTTTTCAAAACAAATTTGGGAATCCATAGCCAAACGCTAGCTAAAGCTCAACCAAGTATTAAGGTAGTATAGATCCTCAAAGCAAGTCAAGTCATTATGTCAACCTTCTTAGCTTATACAGATGTCCTTTATATACATGGTCAAATATTCACTTAAGGTCTGGAGCTTAAGAATATATAAACTAAATCATGTTGAATATAAACAAAATTAGGGTCTGAATTGGGTCTCCACAATTCTTAAGGAGAAAACCTGGGCAGCAGCTCTGCCTAGTATTGCAGCAGATTTTTTGAGGCAGTAAACCACAGAACTGGACGATTTGGTCTCTATAACAATTGTAGATATATCTCTTTATCTTTTTTACAACCTTTTTGAATTCACCCTTAATCCCGGGTTTTTTAAGAGAAAAAGGTTTATGTCCCAAAATACTAACTGCTGTCCAATTTCAAAAA